AGTAAGACAGAACTAGAGTTTTCAATTAACTTAAATACGAGCATATTTTAAATGCAAAATGGCATTAAAAACTTTACGAAAAACTGATTACAGTTTGCCCACAAGTATTTACCAAGCACTCCATGAGTCTGATTGTGAATCTGTTGGCAGTGCCAAGCCAATAATATACAAAACGTCTTAAGCAATGTACAAAGTGGAGTGCAAGTCTAGGCTGCGAGCCCCCGCCCGACCTTAGACTCTCGCTCCATGAGCAAAGACTGTCAAAATTAGCTCGCAGCTGGCAACGCCTCGCAGTGCAAATATTGAGCAGAGCAGAGTCAAGGAACACGGAGCCTGGGCACCCCAGTCCCTGTGGAACGGCTTTTGAGGGAAGCAGCAACACACAGTTGTTGGCAGACAACATTTCATTTCATCAAAATTTCGACTCGCTTATTCCGTAGTTGGAATTTTTCTCACTGCCAACTGTTATTTTTGGCAATTTGTTTGTTTGCCAATTGTCTGCCGGTTATGCTTATCCTTTTTTGTTGGCCAGCCTGATGTAATAAGATTTCATTTCTCTGACTCTCTGACTGTCTTTTTATGCCAATTAACATAATATTTGTAAGTGGATTTTCATACTTGAGCGGAATCCGAATGAGAAAAACTTTAATTGTGCTTTAGAGAAACTTTGCCAAGCCATTGAACTCGTCAACTGAATCAAAATTCGTGGGCTATCCATAGCTACAGCGATAAGCGATATATATATATATATATATATATATAAGTATGTATATATATGTCGTTTTATATGTAATTGTGGATACCGATGAACAGCGACCGAGTTTGACTATAAACGGAGCTAACACCCTTTCGCCTTTCTCATTGCTTTTCCCGCCCCAAGGCATTTGCATTTGCCAGCTCTTCAATTATGTGACAAAAATTATTATGCTAACATCACATGCGGTGCGAATGCGATTGCGATTGCGTTTGCGATTGCGATTGCGATTTTGACTGCAAATAAAGTCTGCGAAAAACTTGAACGGTATGCAAATTAAAAAGACCCGGGCAGTGATAAGCCACAGAACCCAGCCACATCCACGTCGGGCCTCGAGGTTACGGTCTGAGCATCAGATTCGCATTAGAATGCAAGAAGTATAGCCGAAATTTGAACACTTAGAAGTGCTGCTGCTTAGCTGCGTTTTGCCAATAATTTGAAAATATGATCTAATCATAACACACCGCATTGCCAGTTCAATAAACTCATCATAACTGGGCGTGGCTCTCAATAAATCAGCTACTGGCAACTGGCTACTGGCTACTGGCTACTGGCTACTGGCTACTGGCAAACATAATTGTAAATGTCACTGCATTAAACTCTTTAATTCGACTTACAGTTGTTGCCTCTGCCAGTCACGTGCCTTATAAAGAATATATGTAGATAGAATATCTCATGTCCACCCAATTTGTATGTATAACCCACATTTTGCCGTTTCTTCAATTTTTACTTGTCCCCTACTTATTTGCTTACAAATCCATTTTGAGCCGGGTCCCACTGATCCGGTTCTCTTAAGTATTCTCCGTTTAGTTTTGCTTTTGCTAAAGCTCACATTATTTATATTTGGGAATTCCAATTGGGACTTTATTTAATCGCCATTTATAGACGGATTTCAGGCACAGATGTGTATGCCATGCTCGCAAGCTAAGCCAGGCATATTGGGTTCGTTTAATATCGGCCCATGTCAAACTTTATTTAGCGAAGATAATACAACTTCTGCTTGAGTCTCCTTTATAGATCGACCTATATTAAACTCTACGCCCCGACAAAACTCAAATAAGTTTAAGGCATATATACCAAGGCCTCATGTTGCAAGGTTCTTCTTCCATCTTTACTTAGCTCTGCATATCACAAAAATAGAGTATTTCGCAGTCGAGCAAATGTTAGGCTCTTCTTGAACGTATGTGAGATGAATTTAATGATCATAGAAAAGTGAACTGCTCCACTTTTAATGCTGATTTAATGATCTATTTATAACACTATTTATGTTTCAATAAATAGATCAGTTAGACCTGCAGCAGCAATTCTTATATAATATGTGGCTTGATACGATTACCATGAAACTGGATCTGGATCGATTGAAAATTTTTCGTTTGCTATAAGCATAAATTCAATAAAAGCCGGTGAAATGACAGTAACGAATAGAAAATAAATAATGAAGGGGAGCGCAACAGGGGGCCGGACACGGAGACGGCGACGAGAGGGTACGGCGACGGCGACGCGCCGGGGGACGCGACGGCGACGGCGACGGCGACGGCGACTGGAGACGGAGACGGAGAGGATACGGAACTGAGGACGAGGAACGGAGACGGAGACGGGAGGACGGAGACGGAGACGGAGACGGAACGGAGACGGAGGACGGCGAACGCGAGGACGGAGACTGGGACGGAGACGGAGACGGATACGGAGAACGTAGAAGGGAGACGGCGACGGCGAAGTGAGACGGAGACGTAGAACGGAGACGGAGGAGGAGACGAGGACGAGACGGAGACTGTGAGACGGAGACGGAGACGGAGGACGGATACGGAGACGGAGAAGGAGACGGAGACGGAGACGGAGACGGGAGACGGAGACGGCGACGGGAGCGAGACGGGAGAACGAGACGGAGACGGATACTGGATACCGGAGACGGAGACTGAGACGGAGACGAGACTGATGACCGAGACGGGAGACGGAGACGTTAGACGGAGACGGAGGACGGAGGACGGAGACGGAGATCCGGTAGACGGAGGACGGAGACGGAGACGGAGAACGGAGACTGGAGACGGTAGGACGGATACGTAGACGTGAGACGGAGACGGAGACGGAGACGATGAGATCGGAGACGTAGACGGAGCACGGAGACGTAGACGGGAGACGGAGGACGGAGACGGAGACGGAGACGAGAGCCGTCGACGGAGACGGAGGACGGAGACGGGATACGGAGACTTAGACGGAATGAACGTATGAGCTTATACGGATACGGAGACTTGTACTGTTACTTATACTTTTGACTTTTACTTTGTACTTAGACTTTATACGTATACTTATACTTATACTTATACTTATACTTATACTTATACTTATACTTCTAATTTTACTTCCCTCGCTTGCGCATAGTTTCCTGCGTCTGTTACATACAGATGCATCAAACCTATATACCCTCTACTTTTTCTATATCAATTTCAGTCGTCCACTGGGTAAACCAAAAATTAACATTTTCAAATAAATTTCACTTGGACAAGTTAAGCCCCACGTAAATGACATCATTCGGTTAACCATTTATACAATTTACATTTTTTAGCTTTTTTTATCACATGTCCTTGTGGCCCGGAATAAAATAAAAACTTAAAAAATGGGTGAACAAAATACTATTATTTAATTTTACACTAATCAAATGACAATGCTGCTATAAGGTTTGCAAGTATAAAAGAAAGATAAATTACCGATAAAGTACTTATAGGATGATATATGGGACAGTACTGCGAATTTCTCTATAAGAGCCATGATTTCGCTATTGTATCAAAGTATAATAACTACGAAAATAATAATAAAACTTCAAGGCAATCAACTGCGAACCAAATACAAATTCCAGACAGAGTAGATCTGGGCATTACTATGGATCAGAGGCAAATGCCGCCCATCCATTATTCAAGTTAAGGCTGAACTGGCCGCAATTAAAATAAACTTTGATGAATAAAAAGAATAATATATATATACAAAAAGTGTGTGCGCGTGTTTGTATGGGAATTCGTAATTTTCTAAGTTATTGCACTCTTCGAAGCCTTTGCAACAATTTATAGCCGTCTTTATGCGGTTACCCGTGAGCTTAGATAGATTTATATATTTTTTCGCTCTGTCGGCTGCTGACTCACGAGACTTAACGTGACATTACTGCTGTCAACGACTTTTGGTTTAAAACGATGTGCAGCGCATCCTTAATTACACAAAGTGTAGAACCTAGCAGTAGAGACCCTTCTGTAGCCCTCGCCCCGCTGCAATGGTCTCCACGGTCTCTTGACTTTTTGCCTCTTTTCTGAAACGAATTCAACAAAAATTTGCTAAGAAAGAGAGAAAAGCTGTCAACTATTCGCAAGTTTTTATTATGTTTTGTAAAGAGCCGGCAAAGTTTTCGAGAATTTCTTTATATCTCGCTCGTAGGCTCCATTACGTGGCCTGCCTAACAACAATGTAATGCTGCATGAATAATGAGAAGCTTTTAAGATCAGATACTGGCTAACTGCATTAGTTAATAAGAACTCTCGTCGTCGTCGGCAGTGTCTATGTATGTATGTTATATAGAGAAAACAAGATGCCGCTAACCCTATAATTTATATGCTCCTAACGATATCAGTCCAATCAACACACGAGTGCTTCAAACCTCCAGCACACATGACATGCTGCTACAATCGCTCTAAATCATTGTCGTCTGTTTCTCATCGGGGCACATCATCACCACCGCCTTGGCCTGTGGCTACGTCTCCATCTCCGTCTACGTCTTCGTCGTCGTCTTCGCCTCTGTCTACCGTCGACGATGGCTATTATCAGCGTCATCAATTCGCTGCCTGCAGACAGCTTGTCACCGTCGGGTAAACATGCGAATTTCGCAGTCGAGCAGGCAAACACGTGACAATGGAGGTGACTCTGTTCCCGCAGCATTCAGCTATCGGGCTGATGAACTGGCTGGTGAGGACAACGCGTCCGACTACCCAATGACGATGACGCCTCAGAGCCGACAATGACGTCAATTGTGCGACAAAAGCCATTTTGCATACTAAAATCTGGCAAACAGAGCACTCACGAGACAGGGACAGCGATAGCGACTCGAACAGAACTGAAAGATATTGTACACATATTGCATGATGACTATAATTTAAATTGAAGTACGAAGTGTTGACAAATTTATAGCATTCAAGACACCTTTATTGAGCGTTTAATACATAAGAGCACACACAACAAAACATTAAACTCTCTCTATCTCTCCCTCTCTCTCTCAATGTCAATTAACCCATACTAAACATTTTAAGATTGTTGAAGCCCTTCGACTTGTCAATGCGTCCATAGAACAAGCCCTTGAATATCTGCTCACTATTAGGCTTGAATAAGCGTATGCTCGTTTTGAAGTTGGTCTCAGGTAAAAAGCTGGGCAGCAATTCCTCATCCAGAACGTAGTCGTGTAGCGAGTAGGTGCCCTTTTGTATGGGGCACTCCTTGAAAAACTTGCCATATCGCTGCATGTCCTGGTATATGGATCGGGCCAATGGATCCACGTTGCGTTCCATCAACATCTTGCAGAAGTTCACGTTTCTGCTGATGAGGTTGGTATAGTTACCCGGCTCCGTTTCCAAAGAAACCCTGCTCGCTACTTCAACATTGTCCAAAATCTCCAAGGTATTGACAACGACATTGAGCGAACTTTTGCTATTGTTTTGCAATTCGATTTTCACATCCATCAGCTTAGCATTGGCTTCGTATTCGAAGCGTCCAAAGACAATTTTAAAGGAACGCTGAAAAGAGAAGAAAGCGATACAAACACTATTATTAAGCTGCCAGATCACAGGATCACAACTTCAACAACTTACCCAGCCATGTGCCCTGTGGTGGCTTAGTATCAGCATAAGTGCCAGCGCAAGAAATCTTCGGTTTAACTCTGCACTCATCTTGGTTCAATTACAAACTGGCAATTTTATATAATTATGCATAAGTCATACTATAGGCGAATTAAGGGGTCAGGCATCAATAGAGACCAAATTGCTTTGACCATTACGAAGTCTCTTGTCATGGCAAACAGAGTCAACTAAGTGTTTTTTGATACGTTTTTATTTCGAAATCATTTGAAATCATTCAGGCGTTTTAATTCAAGCCCTGTATTCGATAGCATCAACCCGAAATTACTTTTGCATTTTTGTTAATGAGTGCCTGGCCCTATATATACCGGAAATTTCGCTGAGAACTGACAGAGATCATAAATCATCATGTGGTTGAACAGTGTGCTCGTGGTGCAAGTCCTTCTGGTGCTGTGCTCCGGCAGCTTGGCTGAGGTAAGTAAACTATAAAATCGCATTTAGAATGTTCCCTAACAGCTCGCATTGTGTTGGCCAGAAAATGATGCGGCCCAAGTTCAAGGAGATCAAAACATGGAGTGAGGAAAAAATGGTCAGCCACAAGGTGCTCTACGACAACTCGGATCCTCACATGAATTTCTCCATGGAGGTGCACCAACCGCTGAACGATGTGGACATACACTTGGAGGTGCGCATAACCAACAAACTGGACCCTTACTATTCAAGCACTTTGAATACCACCCTCAACATTTGTCGCATCCTGGGCTTTGCCAACCAATCGCCAGTGGGTCGATTTGTGCACGGCTTCATTCGCGAGTACGGAAACATTATTGACACCTGTCCTATACCGAAGGTGAGTCCAAGCCTTATGCTTTGGCTTTCGTACAATCTACAGTGGCGTCTTTTAGGGAAGATACAAATTTCATCACATACGCTTTAAACGCAAATTACAGGGCTCCTACTTCATCAATAAGTTTTGGTGGCCAGAGGATCCAACCACGGCCATTCTGCCGGAGGTCGAGTTCGACATTCACTTTGAGGCCCATCACCTGGACGCCAGCAAGAAGCGAACGCTCCTTATGAACGACCACATTGCCGGCGACTTTGTTGTCCAGGATGTGAACAACCTAAAGCCTGGCATCTTCGGCATGTTGCCCAAGACGACCTAAGCTAAATACACACTACTGAAACCTAGCCAGCGTCTATATCTAACCAGCACTTTCGATGTTTCAATGGTATTCTTTAACTTATCTATCAGTTATTCCTAAATGTAGTAATGAGCAATAAATTTGCCAATTTGCGCAAACTAAATCTTGAATTTTTCATTTGTGTAGAGGATTTTTCCAATGTTTAATACAGAATTTCAGACCCCAACAAACTCGCTTCTAGATCTTCCATAATTACATTTTCAGGGCAACTCTGTTTTTCGAATACGAACACACAATTGCTTTCAAATTATGTGGGTTTGTCAGTGTCGTGGAATATCTATCATGTCAGCTGTCATAAAATTGTTCATATTTTTTAGCACGCAAATTTAGCATATTTTTTGCCCATTTCACAAATTGAATTAAAATGCCCCGTCGAATGGGCCATCACGGCATAGACGGCGACACAAAAAAATTAATATTCAATATATTTGCAATGAAATGTTTTCGACTCGCGTCGTGCTTATTGTATTCCCTCTGACAGTTTGCGAATTTTAAAAGCGCTCTGGCTGCCAAGTGGCAGCCGCTTTGATTTCGTGAGCATTTTATATGATTTATGTGACTACCAATTGTATTGAGCTGTAGGATTTGGGCAATTGACTGTTTACTATTGCCGGTACTTAAACGCATCGGAGAAGCTATAAAAACGCGACTTTGCAATTGCGCAGTGCTACAAAAAATGTATAAATACTATTCCTTCTTAACTGCACCTATTGACTGCCAAATGCTGCTATACGGATGGAGATCACATTCCAAATATGCCAGAATCTTTATTTGCTCACAATTTTGATCCATCTAAATCGCTGTCTGTCTTTACTAAGATTGTATCTGTTACACTGTATCTTCCATGTCATAAGAGTCTACAAATTTGGCTAGGAGCTTATTGACTTCCACTATGGATTGGCCGAAAAATAAAATATTCTTCATCCTTACCTGAGGTAAATTGAGAGTGTTTTGCCTCGACCTTTACTTTTAACTCAATTAATGCTACTAAAATGGTAATATTTTGGTATATAAACCAACAAAAAACATTAAGAAAGTTCTAGTTGGGGGTGATTCACTAGGAGATACCCTGAACACTGAACGATCTGCGTTTTAAATATTTTCCATAGCTTGTTTAAAAATGGGAAAACTTTATATAATTGTTTTTGGCTCCATAAGGCTCCATAAAGTATATACATTATTGATCATGATCAGCTGAATTTATCTGCCACCTGCATATGTTGTATATATATAAGAAACGTGTAATGATTGGAATATATTCACAGGGTTTAGGGTATCTCTTAGTCTAGCCGTCTCGTCTAGAATACTCATACTTGGTAATACATATCTATTTATATTGATTTTGATATATAAATATATATAAATATATATATATAAATATATGGATTGATCTCATTGTAGCCCAAGCCATCCGGTTGTTTATTGTCTAGTATAAGACAGATTGCAAACAAAAACAGCAATAAACAAAAAAAAAAAAAAAATATATATATAATTATATATATATATATATATATATATTTATATATATAATTATACACATATGCTTAACGTTATGCTTGAATAAAAAAGTTAATTCTTTATAATGGAGTGCAATGCAACACACTAGGAATCAAGATTTGCTGTCATTTAAAGGCTGAATGGGACTAGACTAATGATTTAGAGTTCATTTATAGCTGGATTTGTTGATAGTGGCGTGATTTGTTTGGGTTATGGGTAAGTGGCCTGATTGGTCACTAAGAAATATGCTGAGTGTTAAGTTCCCACAAGAAGGGTGTAATGTGATCTTTTGTTTTTGGGACTCTGAGTGTGTGGGAGTGAGTATGATTTATTTATAGCTGATGATGAGAGGGGATCATCAGTCAACTTTGAGGGTCTGCTCGAGTGTTGGCGAATATATTACTATATATATATATATATATATATGGGTGTGATTCTGATCGAGTATTAAGCTGACGCTTGCCCCCGACTTCAGCATTCAAATTTATATAATTTATTTAAATAATATCTATATATAATATATATTTTTATATATATTGAGATACAAATACATCAATATACCACGCATCGCTAACTTTTAAAACAACTTTGACTGATCTCAAACACAATACAAAAACATATTGAAATACCTGAAATAGTTTCTCACCAAACTCTACGTTGGCCGCATTCGCAATGTTTTCAAACACTTTTGGACTGTTTCTAGCAATGTTATTCTTGGGAATAATAAACTGTGTATTGGTAAATGTTACATAAAGCTTTTTCTGTTCACGAAAGTATTCTAAAATATATTGACAGGTATCGAAAGCGATTTTCAAAAACGAGAATTGTACATTCAAACGAAATGTATTTTCAACCTTTACTGTGCAAACTGTGAATAATAAAATTAGTCTGGACGTGAATGTTATAAGAATACTGACTAAAGGCTTAAAAGGGCACATGAGCTTTGAAGCTCGAATGTCCTTAAGCAAAACATATCAGATCGTATTACAGCACGATATGGACTACTGTGCGCTGCTCAAAGGCTCCCAGAACTCAATCTATCGTCGGTATTTCCTCTCCATGGTCAAGTTGGGAAATTTTTCCACAAGCTGTCCCATACGACCAGGCTACTACTATATGCACGATTGGCAACTAAACCAAGATCTGGTGCCCTCATATTTATACTTGAAAGACTATCGGGTTAGGGGCAGTTTTTATTATGGAAAGCAGAGTAATAGAATGGATAATCAATTAGTGGAATGTTCGATTGATATGACATTGATATAGTTCGAAGTCTACTCACTGTGTAACAAATATAAATATCATTAATAAATTTAAAAATTTTATTTAAGAAATTCACATTTATAATTTTACTCATCTAATCTTCAATATTGACCTTTATTCAATAAAAAATCTTTAGTCGGGGGAACCAGATATTGCAGATCTAAACTATAGTAGAAGCGACAATTCAAACACAATTCAATCGTAATTGCGATTCTTCAAATATAAAAGAATGCACGAATTTGGATGAATGTGTGCAACTAGTTAAATAGAGTTGTGGGTTATGTGGCTACTATTAAAATTATCTAGAGATTGACGAAAACCTAATAAGTCCATGCTATGGAATATTGAAAAATACCCTATATTTTACACATTTTTGAAGCCATATCACAGAGCATATTAAAGACATGTGCTTTGACACAATCATGTGGATGTCATAAAAAGTTAATCTAGAAGAAAAGTTATTGCATAATTAAGATTACAAAGTATAGTCCATATTGAGGCCTAAGCGGAAACGGCGTAATAGACAGAGCGTGCATGGGTCAGGGCATCTCCTAGTCGAGCCGGCTCGACTAGAGCACTCTTATGTGTTTATAATTACCCACTAATATCTCTATATACACAGTACCGGTGAATTAAAAAATCATTATATCAGATATGTGATTCAATGTCAAAGCCATTGTTGAAATATTACATTAACAAAGTGTACAATGGCAGCACTTACAATGGTGTCAATTACTATTGGACTGCTTATTGCAATAAGTTTGTTGGGAATAAGAAACAATATTTTGGTAAATATCTCAGAAATCACGACAATGATCACGAAAGTAATCTGAAGGATATTCACAGGCGTCCAAAGTGGTTTTCAAGAGTGGAAAAACCACATTTGACAGCGATGTATTCTCCAATTTTACAGTGGAAATTACTAATGGCAAACTTGATACGGACATAAACCTCTTAAGGAAGGTGACTGGTGGCATAAGGTGTCATGTGAGCTTTGAAGCTCGAGTGTCGAAAAGCAAATCATATCAACGTGTGTTTCAGCACGATCTCAACTATTGTGCACTGCTCAATGGCGCCCAACAAACGATATATCGTCGCTGGTACAACAGCATGATGAAAACAGGAAACTTTACCTCGAGGTGTCCCATAAAGCCAGGTTATTACTACATGCACGGTTGGCAATTAAGGGATGACCTAGTGCCAACATTTTTTTTCTTGGGGGATTATCGTGTTGTAGTCACAGTTTACAATGGAAACAATTGGAAAATAATCGATAACCATTTGGTGGAATGCACATTTGAAGCTGAATTAATTTGAAATCTACTCATCGTAATAGGTATATCATGTCTGTTCGATATTCATGTCTCAAAGATTAGAATAAATAGAATTGCCTAACTTAAAAATATACAAATATTTTAAGAACTGAGTTTAAGTTTCCTCCTTTAGAGCACCAACTGACACTTTAAAAGAAATGAATTAGCCTCTCCAAATAACGTATTACATGTACTGCTGGAAATAAATTATTCCTGTATCAAGAATCGAACTCGATTCTCTATAACCAGCGAATGGTTATAAAGCCAGTTTGATCCTTATGGAAAGTTATCAAAATATTGTTTATTATTCCCAAAAAGCAAATTGCTATAGACAGTCCAATAAACTTTGAAAACATTGCGAATGCGGCCCACATAGAGTTTGGTGATAAACTATTTCAGTTATTTCAATATGGTTTTGAAATTGTGTTTGAGATCAATCAAATATATTTATATAAATATATATATATTATATATATAGTATATATAATAGATTATATACGTAAGTAAGAACATTGCAGTCGGGCGTAGCTGGCAGCCTAATACCCGCTCACGGTTCAAAAACGATAAAGATATCAATATTATCAATATTTTTAGATTTGCCACGCAATAATTGCCAGACCATATAATTAAGATATATTTTTGCAGGAACTATTCTACCTGCAAAATTTAATTAGTAATAATTTTTTATTTATTTGCAGTAAACTGCAGTAACTTTACTATGAAATTTTGGAGCTCTCTATAGAAATTAAACTTAGCTTTCGACTTATAGAAATTAAACATTTAGCTTTGGGCCGAGTGATATATTATGCAACTTTAAAATTATGGTAGGTGTCAAAAAGAGAGATCTTCAATAGCTCAAAATTAAACATTGTTCTCCCCCACAGAATATAGAAATTTTGGTCTACATTGGACTAGGAAAATGTATGTAATAAATAGGAAAAGGCGTAGCAGTTACCATAATATATATATAGTCTGGATCAGGGCAACTAGCTTTCTATCTCTCTGAGTATAGACGCATCCATCTCAAAACTTATAAGAGCTAGAGACTTGAATTAAAGACTTGAAGTGAGTCATATACACACGCCTATCAAATATTTTTCAAATAATCAAGAGCTGTGAACAATATTCTTGTTTCATTTATTCAATGTCAAAATAAATATATTACAGAGTGAGTAGGCTTCGAATTAAGTCAGTAAGGCCTCAAATATACATTCCACCAACAGCTTATCGTTTCTTTTGTAGTACTTTCCATAGTAAAAACTGCCCGCAATCCGATAATCTCCCACGTATAAAAAGGTTGGCACAAGGTCCTCCTTCAACTGCCAATCCTGTAGATAGTAATAGCCCGGCTGTATGGGGCAGCTCCTAGCGAAGTTTCCTGTTTTCATCATGCTGTTGTACCAGCGACGATATATTGTTTGTTGGGAGCCTTTCAGCAGTGCACAATAGTTGATATCGTGCTGAAACACACGTTGATATGACTTGCTTTTAGACATTCGAACTTCGAAGCTTATATGACCTTTAAGGCCTTCCGCCAGTATCCTTATAACACGTATGTCAATTTGAACCTTACTGTTAACAATTTGCACTGTGAAATTGGAAAATACATCGCGCTTGAATGTACAGTTTCCGGTTTTGAATGTCACTTTAGATGCCTGTGGATACATTTCAGATTACTTTCGATAAATATGTGTGTTGTGGTACGCACCAAAACATTGGGAAATGTTATGGAAAAAGAGATTGCTATAAACAGTCCAATAGTCTTTGAAAGCATTACGAGTGGAGCCTACGTACCCTTTGTTGATGAACTATTTAAGCAGTTTTAGCAGTATTTTTTTTCACGGATTTAATACCAGTTTAATTGATTTTGAAATTATACGGTACAGTGCGTTATTGAGATATTAGTAAACCTTCCCGAAATACGATATATAGATAACAGGAAAGTACCCGAGCTAGACCGACTTGCAGATCGCTTGATTGGAAGAATATATTTATATTGTGCTATCGCACTCTTGCTATCAATTCTACTGCATCAAGCTTATATATAAGTAAGTCAAACTTTTCTTTTAATTTAAAAATAAAACTTGTTACTGCATGCTATAAGCTGTATAGACTCTTAGCATTATGGCTCTCTTAACGTTAATGTCATAAAGTTTTTGATCCAATAATGCCTTTACTGGTTTACACAACATATTACTTGATTTTATTATACTTAAATTGACTCTTCTCTCTAAATATTACACATTTTCCACAATTATTTAATTATGAATAATGAGTATTATTATGAATGGTCACGATAATTGCCTTTAAACTGTTATTCGATCAATCCAAATTTACATCCATTTACCTGTCAGTGCTTACATACATTGCTATATATATTCTGATTGCAATTAGAGACATACATAATTGCAATCTATAAATTTAAATATTTCAAAGTATTATTAGTATCTATGGTCATTCATATTTATATATATATAATTATAATTATTTATTTTTTATATATATATATTTACATATATATATAAGGCGTTGTTTGATTTCCATTTATTAAAATATAATCACCATCTAGTACATATTCAATTTTATTTCAGCAGTGCAAAGAATATGAGGTCCACCACAAAGTCCTCGTGCTTTGTCTTTAGTTTTCCGAAGAACAAGTGACAGCTGATACGATAGTCGCCTGCATATAAATACTGAGGCACCAGGCTTGAATCTAGCTTCCAGTTTCGCAGAAAGTAATGGCCCTCGGGCACTGGGCAGTTGTACATGAAGTTGCCATTCTCCAACATGCTCTGGAACCAGCTCTTGAATATATTGCTCTTAATTGCTGTCACAACTCCACAGACGTCTATTATATGGGCAAAGACGCTTTGGTAGTGCTTCGATTTGCCCAGGCTGATGGAGAAGTCGATATGGGATTTGAACCCACGCGTTAAAGGCTTTCTGATTATCATGTCCAAATTGACCGTATTATTGATGATGCTCATATTGAAGTTTTCGAAATACTTGTGATTGTACTTCAACTCTCCAGCTTGGATGATCACGCTGGACTAAACAGTAAGTAAGTTATTTGATTTCGTCGAATTCGTATTAGAGACTCACAGCTTTCCCGACGGACAGTCGGTCGAAAAACAATAGCAAAAGGATTGAAATGCCGTTAATATGAAATACGTTCATTTTCATATCAACTTCGATACTCAAATGACTTGCGAATTATGAGCCTGCCGACTGGAATTACTTTTTGTTTTGACTAAATTACTTTTAATTGATTTTCCACAGAACAATCTAGCTCATTGTACCAAGCTAATTACGAATTTATATAAGCTTCAACATTGCGGTATTTATTGTTAATGAGATTTACATTGATTTAACTTGATTACTATGTTTAGGTTAAATTTTTCACATGCATTGGCTTTGTTAACCTGAAACAATTGACCTCAACAAAGAAATTATTGATTCGGCATACTCATTATTCGAAAATCATTTTCATTCGTATATGAGGTTTTCAATTTTCGCGAATTACATGGAGCCTTAATGCAATATCGAAATCAACTAACTTCCTATTATATATAGCGTGACCATCATCCACACGTTTTTCGAAATCATCAACATGGGCAGAGACTCATCTGTGCTTTGAAATTCATTTATTTATTTCATATAAATATATCATATAAATATAGATAAATCCTTGAAGTTAAGTTTCCGGATACATTAAGATTTTCTATATGTTGTAAAAATGTTTAAAGAGTAATAAGAGGAGATTCAAGGGTAGAAAGGGTATTTGCAATTTATTCCAATTTACATTCTTTATTTGTTATATCTATTGTAAGATTTCGAGCATTCGAGCATTCGATCGCATTCTGCCCATTTTCAACTGTTCATTATAACTTTAAGCTGATTCACTCTTAAATATATTGTCAAATCGATTGATAAGCCCATAAATCGTATAGCTGTTCCGTTCTATTTGGAAAACTGGTCAACTGTGAAGCCGCACACATTCGCAAAGTGAGTTTTAGCCATGTCGATCTCTCTTTTCGAATATTAAAATACTGCTCAGGTGTTTTATATTCCTGCTAGCTCTGAGCGACAACAATGACCGTGAAGGCTGTAGGTCATGTGATTGCTTTTAATTGAATATTTAGTCGAAAACGAATTAACTCATTCCGGAAGCGTATCACGTCGCCTGTGGCCGAGAGCCAATTTAAACGCGACTACTTTGATAACTCCACCTTCACCTTCAGCTTAATCCTAGAGAGAAGCAATGTATGTTTTAATATGGTACTCTAAGGAAATCGATTAGAGGGGGCAGGCTTTCACGCCTCGACTATCATGCTTAAGTAGCTAATACCAAAAGATTTCAGATTTCTCAGAAGGCTGCCAAATTGCGAAGATCAAATTGTGGACAAAATTAGCTGCCGTCATTTCAATAATTTCGATGAAAAGAGATTTGTCTAAGTATTGAATGTGAACGAAATTCAACTTTTATTACTGACAGTATCTATCTCTATTAATAATAAAGAGTAACATTAGCCAACAGGATTTACTAAATAAAAACTACTTTGCGAAAGCTTTAAAACTACCGAATCCAATCAGTAGCAGAATAGTTGGATGTCATCTATCTCTCTGACAGTTAAGTCAATCATTCGGCTGATATTAAATATTTTATATGATTAGCAAAATAAAGTAAGAGGCAAGACTTTGGCATTTTGAATAACGGAAGAATATTTAAAATAAAAGTGAGCCAATTGTCTTAATGTTTAACTACCTCAGCTATAGCTTAGCATTTTTTTTTTGTTTTTAGACTCGCTTTACTTCAAAATTAAAGAGTTGAGTTAGCATAATGCAATCGCTGGCCACAGACTACAACATTCTACTATATAGGCAATTTCAGATTCAGATTGGTTGAAAATGAAATTATTTATTACTTAATCCCCCATAAGTTTTATTATTGTCTTGTATTACCCAACTGTACTCCCTTCGTAAGTTATAATAATTTGTTCATGAAAAACTTATTTTTTTTAGTTTTCTTTATAGGTTTCCTTACGTGCCTTCACAATAAATATTTGATAAACGCTATGGAGACAATTGAATAGTCCAATCCAGCGACCATTCAAAATCTATTAACAGCCGATACAGAAAAAAGGGCTTATGCTGCAGTATACGAAAAGCCATTGTTCTACTTGGTCCCTTTGCTTCGTATATTCACTCTGCCTCACACACAGACACACACACGCCTACGCAAAAACATTCTTGGGGTAGTGCTGGCAGCTGCTTAGCTAACGCTTGCATTCAGTTGCCCGTTGTAAATCTTGAAAAATTGCCATTCAATGCAAAGATTCTGAAAGCATTCATCAAACAGTTGGCAAAAGTCTGGAAGTTCATTCGATATACATATATATTATTTGTTGAGCGTCAAACAATGAAAATCTCTAATTTGGCGTTAAAGTTTTTACACTGCACAACATTTCTTGCCAGTGGAAATTTAGAAAAATTTTATATCTTATTTATTGAAAAGGGTGCAAAAATTATATTGATTAAACTGTTTGGTAAGAGTTTCTGTTAGATCAATAAAAATAATACACATCTTAGGTGTATGTTTCCTCTGTGATTGAAAGAGATTCAATTTAGTAAGGTATGTATACATATGTATGTATACATAGGTATGTATACATAGGTATGTATATATATACATATATATACATATATACATAAGTATATATATATAAAGGTTTCTTCGCAATTTGCTCACATTAAGAGTATCTAAAAGCGAGAAGATGCCAGAAACAAATGTTTCAACTTTAAGAGGAAATACCTTATCCAAAAATATACATTATATGAGTCTTATTTAAAAAAAAAATTAAAATTGATATGAATCTATGAAATCTTAACATGTTAAATGTTAACTTACTTTTATTACTCTTAAGATTGGGCTGACAGACAGACATACATAGAGCCACTCGGCTGTTGTTGAGAAGCATTTGTGGAATATATTAATTTTGATAACATTTTAATTAGTGTAACGAGATTTGCTTTCAACAATGTAAACCAGAAATTTTTATTGCTTAGTTCGTCTACAATTTCTTACTGTGTACTTAAAGGCAACACATGGCATAGACGACTGTTACTGTCGGACTAGCGGCAACCTTCACATATGGCACAGGCCCACAGCCGCACAGTCGCACAGCCAGTCAGGCAGTCAAATCTGTCCATTTGGCTAATAAATCCTTGAGCAGCTTATTGAGCAACGTCTGCGCATAAATATTATGGCTGGCAACTGGCCCAGAACAAGGACGTAAGCATGGCGACACTGCCGAAGCCCTACGAGATGCATCCATTCACTTTTCACTTCAATGCTTTAAAACGTTGTCCCTGTTGCGCCTTGCCCCTGTGGCATTTAAGCATCACATTCCTTGACCGCCTCGTACGTGTTAAATAAAATTTGAATTCTTTTTTGTGTTTTTGTTTTACCACTCGCCTGGCAAGCGCAAAGAGTTATTTGGTTTTGTGCTACGCTTCCTCTTTTAGGAAACATTCTTTGGACTTCCAGCTGGAGTTGAACTGTTTATAATAAAGAGAGTAAGATTGATGATCTACTCTGTCAATTAAGCAAAATTCCAAATCATCTTCTTCAACTACAAATTAGATATGCTAGAGTATAGCGGAATTGGTCATACCCGTCTGCAAGGTTTTTTTGTTTTGAAACTTTAGCCCACTCGCCTGCAAATTCTTGAGCTGACATTGGATTTCGGTTGGCTGTCGTGCTGGTATGCCAGCTCAGGAGCTTGCCCGTTATTATTGTTGTTTCTGCTGGTGCTGTTGATGCTTGTTGTTTCTTAAGTACGCTCGCTGCACTAAAAGGATATGCAAATTGTTTGAATAGCAAACGACATGCTAAACAATTTTTGCTCTGGCCTGTATAAAGAAAGAAGTCCAACGTAACATTTCTCTTTAGTATGTTTTGGCAGTGCCTTTGGTCAAACACTTCTGCTGCTGTTTCTTCTGGCCATCGCATTTTTGTTTGTTTTTGCGCATTAAGTTGTTGCAACACGGATACCAGTACAAGGCATATCCTCAACCCAAGTGAACTGTACAGGAAATGTTTTGTTGTATTTCTCACCCGCTGGATATAAATCACAGTGTCCCATGTTATTGTGCTTCGGCTCCTAGGCTAAAATTGTTGCCACCGCCATTGGACCCATGTTGGATTATTGAATTAGTTGATTATGTGCGCCTGGCCAACAGAACCTGAGAGCAAGAGCACGAGCAGGAGTCGGTTGCAGCATTTCTATTTGGGGTTTGTGCAAGCCTATAAATCTTTTGTTTTCCAGAGCTATTTTACACATTTCAAATCTCATTTAAGTCCGTAACAATGCCAGCTCAATGTTGCGGTAGAGAGTAGCAATTAAAGCTCTTTTCAAGGCAGCTTTTTCCCATCCGACAACCACATACCATATCTATGTAGCAGTAGCTTATCGTGGTGCTTGAGTAACTCCAAACAATTTCTGCTTCATTTTAAAATAAACAAATTTGTACTCAGATATTCCATAGGGCATATTTGGCTTAGAAATAATCAAATGATTATTAATATTTGTACGTGTTGTAGAGCATTGGAAATCTTTCTTAGAGTAGAATCTTAAAGTTGTTAACTTCCAATTGAATTTAACACTGATTTTTGAGTGAATTGATATACAAATGTAGAGTTCAAGCTGAGCCAAGCTTGCTGCGAGAGGATGAAAAACATGTTTTCTTTTACAAAGTTACTTCACAGGATTTCAAACTATGTTATGAGTATTAAAAGCAACTAGTTTCTAAAAAATAGCGAAACTCGATTTAAGAATATCTTTATTCTGGTTTCTGATTCGATGTCAACACTTCAAAGGCAATAGAAAATTTGTTTTAGACATCCCCATCTCTTCTACTCATTATAATGAGTAAAATGCAAAATGCAAACCATTCATATTTTAAATATTTACTTTTAGATATGAAAAGTTCCCTTAAAATACTCATCAGCATCTCAAAGTTCGATAGATTAATGAACATAATTTCAAGCTGCTTAGTAACAATTTTACTTCAGCTTATGTCAAACCAATAATAATATCAAAAGCCCAGTTTAATGCGCAATCAAGCACAAAGACTTGCCCAAACCCCACCGCCCAGGAAACATATTCAAACGTCAA